ATCTTCACCTGTGAAACCAAAAATGCCAACCACCTGAAAAACAAACCGCATAGCGTAATAGGTTATAGCCTTTTAACATAAGATGCTCATGTAGATGTAAAGGAAGCAGTAATCACCTTATTGTATGTGACACATTTTGCAACCTTCACCATGTTCTTGTAAAAGGCACTGTGCAAAAAGTTCTTGTTAGAAACGGACCATAAAACTATGTAAATACAACTCCTGGAGATGTACGCACACCTTTATCTCTACCTTACGAAGGTGGAGAGGCTGTTTCCGATAGACCCTCGGCTCAAGATTAAATTCTACTTATGACATACCATGTAACGCTAAAATTATCATTCTAAAAGGCAACTTTCAGTCTATTCACTTTCATAGCAACAAATGTAAACATGATAACCAAATAACAAATTCACCTCCTCTCCCCGCCCCCCTAAAGAAAAAATATTGTTACAATGAGGACACTTTCCATAAAAAAATATCCCAACTCTCATGTCATGCTTTATCAATTGCTTCAATCATCTGTTAGACATTATTTTCAACTTTTTAACTCAAAATATCACCAAAACAGTATCTTTATAATGTATACAACTCCTTGTATGATTACCATATATATCCTTGCTTGCCTACTAAACACTTAGAAATATCAAAAAAGGATTCTCAAGATAAACAATTTCCGTAAGAGTACCAAACACAATCGGGAAAAAAACAAAGTTACTTACCCACCAACATAATCGAAATCTGAGAAAATGAAAGTCTTGGAAACATCAAATCCACAAGCTATAATATCTTTAGCATTCTCACGAGCAAGTCTTTGGCTTTCTTCCACTGACAAATTCTTCCACATACATTTCTCATCATCTGTCAATTGTATTACTAGCGGCACTTTAAATGCATCCTGCAAATATCTAAACACAACAAAAACAAAATAAATTCACACAAAAAAAAGAAAAAAACTTCTTTCTAAAAAAAATTGCATACACGTCCTCCCGTTTAATTTAATTACTTGGTGAACATGAAGGGGATAAGGTGACCCAAATGCAAGGCTTCAGAAGAAGGTCCTCTGCCTGTGTATAAATAGAACTTTTGCCCTTTTTCATAAGCATCCAATATATCGCTGAAATCACGATGAGCGAAGAAAACACCGCGGCGGAGAAAAACGTGAGCCGGCCGATTCGTGAGGCGTTGAACACGCTGGATTAAGGAGTCGTCGAGCCTCTGGCAACCGAATTTATCGATTAATTTGTCGTAGTCAATCTTGCCGCCGTCTTTTGCTGATACTTCCCATGGGTTCACTACTTGCTCCTCGTCTTCCACCACCTCTTTCGCCTCCTCCCTTTTCTCCATTATTGTAATGTTGTTCAAAAGTGGGTTCGGAGATTTAGAGAGAAAGTGCAAAAACCTTAGAATGGCTGAAGGCTGATAGTTAAGAAGGTTTTAAGTGCCACAAACTGAAACCTGTGGGGGAAAGGGGAGTGTCATTAAACTTTGTTATAATATAAACGGCAAAGGGTTAAATATGCCTCTCTACTTTCGAAAATGATCTAAGAATACCCCTCGTTATATATATTATTGCTTTTACCTAACCCGCTTTTCTTTAATAATAATAAATTATATGATAAATAGTCATGTGTGGATAAAATTTCTATCTTTCTTTTCAAACATAATACAATAAATGGAGGGCATCATGTTGGAAGACGTTTAATTGTATAGGAGTTACACGAAATTGTAAAAGTTGGTGCAATAAAAATTGAAGTTGAAAAGATAGAAAGCAAAAAACATATCAAGTAGACCAAAAGAGAGGAAACAATGAAAACCTAATAACTTATAAAAAATTAAAATTGGAAAGTAAAATTATTATTCTTTAAATAGCATAAGCTCTAACTCTTTTTTTTGCCAAAAATTTACAATTTTTTGTAAATACGAAGCAACTTGTGCTGACACATTATTTAACATTTTTAATCAAAACTATTTCAATTCGATTAAAACACGACATTAATATTATTTATATGATAGAAGAATATAGTTTATCAACAATTTTTTATTATTGACGCAACAAACACGTGCAACGCACGTACTCTAAGACTAGTATGTGTATAAATATATTTGTTCTTTTGTTCTCTTTATTCTAGTTTATATATTATATTAAAAGCACGAAGGCCCTTAGCGAAATGTCGTTCGCCTTTTTTGCCTTTTAAAACATAGAGTTCCCATAGGACAATATAGTAATTTAAGTATTTCATAAATATTTAAAAATATTCACTTAATTAATTTAGTTTTTCGAGATTTTTTGGTAAATATTTCTTCAATTATTTCTTAGTAAACTTTGCCTTAATTAATTGGTTAAATTTTCTTCACGTTTCTTACACAAGGAAACTTAATAAAAAAAAATTCCTAAACTTTCACTCTCATTAAGTAACAGATCCCCTTTACTCTTTGGAGTATTAAATGAGTTATTATGTTGCCTTAATTATTTGGTAATACATATTTTCTACACGACTGTTGCACAAGGAATGTTTTTTAAAGAATTTGACTAGGAGGACGATGCAGTGGGAAGCCATAATTGTGATTCTGTTGCACAAGGAAAGTTTTTTAAAGAATTTGACTAGGAGGACGACCTTTAATGCAGTGAGAAGCCATAATTGTGGTTCCGTGTGGTTACACAAGGAAATATTTTGGTAGAAGTTTTTATTATTTGGTAAATTTTTCTTGTCTCTTTGACCTACACATAAATTTACTTTATATAATTTCTTTCATGTGTCAAATTGTGTACCATAATACTTCTATAAATGAAGCTACAATGTCACAATTTAATCGTCAAAGTTCGCCATATTCCAACATCGTGATTTCAGGTGTTGTTTCTTTTACTAATATCAACATCTTTTGCTACTTCGTATTTTGCAAGCACGTTTGCATGCACCAGTTTTTAGTGTTGCATCAACAATTTATTTTTATTGTTGCATCAACAAATTTTTATTATATAGTTTTTGTTTCATGTTTTGGACTTGGCTAATTTCACATCTCACGTAATTTACAAATTTAATACGGGTTATTGAACAATTGCAATTCATCACTGAAAATCGGTTAGACATTCGATCTAAGTCTTATTACTTAAATATTAGTATTATTTTTTCCTTTGTTTTATAATTGATAATACTTATAATTTCTATGCCAGCTCAAGTTGCTTGTTTTAAAAAGAATTAAAAATTAGATAGTCTGCTTTAATTCTGTGTGATATTAATACTACATGATTTGCGTCATTGCAATTGCCATGCTTGAATCACTTAGATTTCAACAATTACATCCGTTCAGGTAAACAATCTTCCTTATATCATAAAAATAATCAATTATTGAATTAGTCACTTTGATAACTTATAAACCTCTTATGCATGCTTTATTTTAGGTACACCTGCAATGGCAAGTGAAAAGGAATTATTAGACCAATGTGTCTCAATTAATAGTCTAAGAGTATCTGATTCATGTTGGGTAATACGAGTGTTAGTATTTGGGAGTGGAATAGTAAAAGAGTTCAACAATAAAACAAATCAAGGCACCCGAAAAATTGTGACATTAGTTGACGAAGAGGTAATTATTATTTTATATCAATATTTTATTTCATGTCTTATCATATTATAGCTTTAACCATCAGATTAACTTACAGTGAAACTTTTTTACAGGGAACAAAAATTCACGCTAAACTTTTCAATGGTTATATTGAGTTGTGGAAAAATTATTTACAACAAAACAAGATCTGTTATTTCATAAACGGACACATCAATAGTGTTAATCCTAATTTTCAATCAGTGCACAAGGAGCTTGAGATTGAATTTAAGGAAAATACTTTAGTTGAAGAAAGCAATAGTCACTTTTCGGCCATTGGTTTTTCAAATAATTTTATTTCATTCGATGAGGCATCAAAGTGCACCAATGGAACAATTTTTGGTAAGTTGTTTAGATTTCATCCAGTAATCTTTCACTAAATATACAAAAATAAAAATAAAAATTTACTTCTACTCGCCTTATTATTTTTTGGGTAATATACATATATTTGTTTTGATATTCTTTCTAGATATAGTTGGAATTTTAGTGGATGTTAAACCCTCCATGGGAGAGGGTTCAAAGAAACGAAGGGAGATAGTGATTATCAACGAGATGTAAGTTGGAAGTTTTAGTTCAGCATGTTAAATGTTTCTTCGTAATTAAGATGTTAATGGTTTAATATATTTAATTGTAAATCTCAGGGTTGATAGAAAGAATGTAACCTTATGGAATGATTTCTCAGAGATAGACGGTCAAGTGCTACAAAAAATGATTGATGAAAAACCTGTTGTTGAGGCATTGTCACACCCCTTTTTTTCCTCACTTAACCCTCTTAGAAATGATAAAAAGATTTGTAACCTCAAAAGGGTTTTCCAATTGAAAGTGACAAAGTTGTGTTTTAAAAGATATTTCAGAGTCACCACCTGACATTTGGTTTCGGTGTGCCGGGTCACCATTTTAAAAAAAACAATTCTCGTTCAAAACACATTTGACTCTAAAACTGACTGCACCAGAAATTCCAAGTAAGGGGGTTCATTTGACTCGGGGAAAATGTGTTAGGCACTCCCCAAGTCCCGTAACTAGTACGGTTGCATACTTAATCTAGTTAGTTTTAAAGAATACTCAAACTGAGGCAAAAACGCACAAAAGAGAAAACAAACACACAAGAGGCTCGAGGTTGTCCCCACCGAAATAAAAGAAAAAATAAAAATAAAAATATACTCAAATTCTATAATAGCACATACCAAAGCTTCCTCGATGATGTCCTCCTTTACTTCTATTTACATATACTACGGGCCATTCCCCTGAATAAAATAATATTTACAGATTTTTCGGGGCATTCCCCTGAATATAAACTAAAGGAACAGCCTCTCACCTCGAATAAAAATGAAATAAAAGACCTAAGGTTTGCCTACCCAAGTGGCCGGCCTAAACATACTCCTAGCATCTTAAAAATTCTATCAACAAACAAATATGCAACTCAAAACGTCACATACCAAACAAAAATCCAATTGAAATTGTCACTGAACCCAATATCATTTTAGCCTAATACACTTTCATGTTTACCTACAAACCCCACGATCCAATTAGTTTAGTAATCCAAACCAGTTTATCTACTCATGTAATTTGAACTATCTACTCATGTTAATTATTAATTTCCTAATTTTTACTATCTACTCATGTAATTTGAACTATCTACTCATGTAATTTGAACTATAACAGAAGAGTATCAAGAGTTGAGTACAATCTGCAAATAACTCATTTAACATTCATTTCAATTGATCTAAAGCAAACAAAAATTAAAAGAAATCATCAACTCATTTAAATAAATCATGTAGTCACACAAAATATATATTAAAAAAATAAAAGAAAGAAGGTAAGAAATTTGACCTTCAAGGGTTTTCGCCAAACAGAAATTCGGATCTAATTTTAGACCGCGATTGGAACCTCAACGAACAACCTCGATCTCGACCGCATCTCAACCACGGCGGATGAAAATGAATTCGAAAATGAAGAGCAACTTCTTTATTGTGTCCCTGTATTCGACCCCTTTGAAGCAGAACTTTGTACTGTCCCAAATGAAGTGGTAGATGAAACTACTACAATTAATGACTTAGACATTTTGTTGAACAGTGATGATGCATGTGATGATTTAGGGATTCCTTAGTTTCTTTCTTCTAAAATTGAACTTGCTGAATTTGCAAAGAAGAAAACTAAGGTTTTGTCTTTGTGAGTTTGTTAGGCGAAGAGTTTAAAGTCGTAGAAGAAGATGAGCGATGGGTGCGGCGCTGATGGTGTGCGGCACGAGGGGGAATTCTGCTAGGTTGGAGGAAAAATTGGGTATTATTGGGTATTTTATATGAAAGTGGTAAAGTACCATGGCCATATTGTATTAGAAGTAAATAAATGGCTAATATTAAATCTTCTATTTTAAGCTAAGAGTGGGCTAATGGGTTATAAATAATGGGTATTTGTCTTGTTGGGCCACTAAAATTCAAAAATGAGCTCTCAATTCTCAATGAACAAAAATAAAATTAAAAATACTATTAAAATATACGAATTAATCTTAGTTAATAAGAATAAACTATTAAAGTGAACTATATATAAAAATGAAAATATTTTTGGTATTGTTTTTAAATGTTATAAAAAGATAGAGAAAACTATGTTAAAGTAATGGTAAAATTAAAATATTATCGTTGTAAAATACTAATAAGCTTAAATAAATAAAAAAGAATAAAATAAAAAGATATATAATAAGAGAAGAAATATTATAAAACTATTTTTTGCGTTTTTAAACTTATGTTTTA